CATTAATATGTCCTAAAACATGCAAAAAAGATATTTATGAGATTTTGAAGAATACACATAAATATGGACATAAGATAATGAGAAATGATGCCTTGGGTATTTTTTTTTTTTTAAAAAAGAACCTCAAAAAATAAACGATATAGTTCGCAAACATAACTCGGTTCAGTTCATTCGTTTACTTAAACGAGTAGTCATTAAACAACTAATCGGTCTTGTTTATTAAATGCGTCGAGCAAAATTAGTTCATGAACAACTTATTTTTATTTGTTTTATCTTGTTTACGAGTTTCAAATGAAACAGTAGAGCTTAACTTATTTGCAAACGGATATTTATATTTGCAAACAATATATTTAAGACTTTAAGTTTATTAAATTTAAACCCCCTTTTGTCTTGTTTACGAGTTTCAAATGAAACACTAGAGCTTAACTTATTTGCAAACGGCAGTAATTCTATGGAGCAATTGGATGGCTCCGTTATGGAGCCATCCATAATTTTATATACTGACACATGTCCAATGTGCATTTATTGCAGGACACGTGTCAATACATTATTTGTGAACAACAATGGATGGCTCCATAAGCCGAGCCATCCGATGGCTCCATAGCAAAACCGTTGCAAACGGATATTTATATTTGCAAATAATATATTTAAGACTTTAAGTTTATTAAATTTAAACCCCCTTTAGTCGACTCATAGATTGAAAAAGCTCGGCTCGACTCGGCTCGGCTTCTGTACATTACCAAACCCAAAAAGAGAGAAAAATAAAGAAAAAGAATCGATAAAAAGCAATTTGCTCCATTCTCCTAGACTCTACCAGGGTCCTCTTCGCGGCTCTTCAAACCCAAAACTGCTTCAAATTTCCATTTTTCTTGATACCATTCAATGGAAGAAGATGGGAACTTCAATGGAAGCTCTAACGAATTCACGGATGAATTGGAATTTGAAGAGGATATTCAGAGCAGCGAAGTGTTTTCTGAACTGAAACAGCACTGCATACAGCTGCTCGACCTGCTTCACAATCCGAAGAAAGACGGCTCGTCTCTTTCCCAACTGCTTCGCGTTCTGAAGCGATCTCCGCCTCACTCTTTGCAGCCGTTCATGGAGTATGTCTCTTTTGTTTCCGTCTTTTGGGTTTTTCCACTTTGTTTCAGAACTCGATTTTTGATTGTTTTACGCTTTTTTTTGGTCTCTTGCGTGAATTTTGAAATTTTCGGGTTGCCGGAGCTTAAATTTTGAGGGGCTTTGTTTAGATTCAGAGTGATTAGTGTAGTTTTCTTGCTGGAGATAAAGATAGTTTGTGGGTGGGTTGGAAGGTTAGGTGTTGGGTTTAGAAAAAGGTTACGTCTTTGCTGTACAAACAGAGAATTTGATAGAAGATATGTTTTTATTTCTCACACCAAATCTGTTCACGCAACACGCGTTTTATATGTACATGAAGAAGGGAACGACGTCGTCTAGTTATATGTCTCACACGACGTCGTTTGCACTTAAAGCAAAAACACAAAACGCAGCACGACTAAGAAAATGACAACCAACGATTTCTAGTTAAAAGACAATTATAATGAGCAGCAGGGTGAGCAGCAGGCTGCCATGGAACTTCATCCTTCTACACCCCCTCCTCAAGTTGGAGTGTGGTCAAGGGCATACACACCCAACTTGCACAATAGCCTGTGAAACACTGCAGATGGCAACAACTTTGTAAAGAAATCAGCAATCTGAGCTGAAGAGTGCACATATGCTGGAAGAATGAAGCCAACTTTGTATTTATCACGCACTATATGACAGTCGATCTCGAGATGCTTCGTCCTCTCATGGAAAACTGGATTGGCAGTAATGTGCATAGCCGCACGATTATCACACCAAAGAGTGATTGGCAAAGTTGGCTGCAGTAGAAAATCCTTAGCTAATGAATAGATCCATTGCAGCTCGCAAACTGTTGTTCCCATTGATCTGTATTCAGCTTCAGCTGAAGAACGAGCCACTGTAACTTGCTTTTTGCTTTTCCATGATATAAGGCTATTTCCAATGAAGACACAATAGCCAGTGATAGATCGACGGGTGTCCTTACACGTGGCAGTCAGCATCACAAAAAGCACTGAGATGAGGTTGTGAGGTGGAATCAAAGAACAAGCCAAGAGTGATAGAACCTTTTAGATATCTGAGGACTGAGATTGCTGCATTCCAATGTTCAGTGAATGAATTATTCACAAACTGGCTGAGTTGTTGAACCGCATAGCTCACATCTGGTCTGGTCATGTTAAGATATAAGAGCCTTCCAATTAGCCTCCTATATTGATCTGGTTCTTGCAGAGGATGGCCATCATGTCCAGTAAGTCTAATACCTTGCTGCAATGGAGTAGCCAACTCCTTGCAGTCTTCCATTCCCATATCCTTGAGTAAATCAAGAATATATTTTCTCTGGCAGAGGTGTATTCCACTTGTAGTTCTGGATATTTCAACTCCTAGAAAATATCTTGCTACTCCAAGATCTTTAATAGTGAACAGTCCATGCAGATAAACCTTTAAGGCCTTTATCTGCTCAATATCAGATCCCATGATTAGCATATCATCCACATACACTAACATTGCAAGATAATGATTATTTTTCTGCTGTGTGAACAAGCAATGATCCTGAGGTGACTGGTGCAAACCAAACTCCAGTAACGTTTTTGACAACTCACAATTCCATTCCCTTGATGCCTGCTTAAGCCCATATAAACTCTTGATTAGTTTACACACTTGATCATCTCTCCCTTTGCTGTAGCCTTGTGGAATTTTCATATACACTTCTTCAGATAAATGACGATGAAGGAATGCATTGTTGACATCAAGCTGCCAAATAGTCCATCCCTTAATTGCAGCCAGTGCCATGAACATTCTAACTGTGACCAACTTAGCAACCGGTGAGAACACATCAAAGTAATCCACACCAGCCACTTGAGAAAAACCCTTTGCTACTAGTCTTGCTTTGTACCTCTCCACTGTCCCATCTGCTTTTCTTTTGATTTTGTACACCCATTTAGAGCCAATGGCCTTCTTACCTGGTGGGAGATATGATAGTTCCCATGTTTGATTATCCTTTAAAGCCTTGAGTTCCAAATCCATGGCTGCAACCCACAAGTCATCCTTCTTTGCTTGTTCATAGCTTGTAGGTTCTTGTTCAGATATAATGTTTGCCAAGAATCCTGTACT